TACATGTGGGGTTATCCGGTCCTTTAATTATTATTATGATTATTATTATTATTGATATTATTGTTAGTATTGTTATCATTATTATTAATATTATTGATAATATTATTGTTAGTATTATTATTATTAGTATTATTGTCGTCATTTGTATTAATATTATTAATAATATTAATAACAAATAATATACATATTGTTATTTTTAATATTATCATTCATATTATGTTGCGTGAGCTCATGGCGAGCCTGGGCCTGAAGCGCCTCCATGTGCTGCATGAGCTCCCGGAGAGTCTCTGAAGCCTCCGTGCTTGGCGGGTCGGAGATCGCTAGGGGCCTAAATTATTTAGGGTTTAGGGTTTAGGGTTTAGGGCTTCCGGTTTAGGGTTTGGGGTTACTCATACTATTTTGGGGGTTCCTTATTATAATTATAGTATAATGGGCCCGAAAATCCTGGACTGCGCTCCAGCATTTGGCACAGGCATTCCTTCGCCCCTCGCTCGCTTTTCAACGCTTTGCCATCTGAAAGAGCTGCCGGTAGAATCCGGCGACCGATGGTAGGCCTGAACCCAAAGCCTCGGGCTGCTCAGAACGATACTCAGACTGCACATGGTCGTACTTCGCAAATCAACAAGACTTCCCAAAATGTACGGAGTAGAACAGAGTACACAACAGTAGCAGCTGGCAAGACTGGACAAGAAAAGCTGCAAACAATTCTTACTTATGTACATGTAAATAAAGTCCGGCCGAGAAATAAACTGCGCTAACAAGACTCCACACGTCAATGCTGTCAAGAAGTGCAACGGACTATCCCTGGGCCTTGCAAAGGACCCTTGAAGCCAGCATCAGAAGCATCAGAAGAACCGAGGTGGCAAGAGATAGATGCTACTGCAAGCCAACCGGATCCCGGCCAGGCCCAGGTGCAAAAAAACACACCCACCCGCCCAAACCTCAGACTATCCCAGGCTCACGTTGTGAGGTATCGAATGAAGCTCCCTGGAACATCTGGAATGTGGAAGCTCAGTCTGCGCAAATCTGGAAGTTTGGAAGCTGGAAACCTGGCCACTGAAAACCTGGAAATCCGTCTATCAATCTGTGTATCTATCTTTCTTTCTATCTACCTGATCTACCTATCTAGTGTTTCTGCATGCGTGCATCCATCCAGCCAGGCATCCAGCTCCATTCATCAATTCATCCATGCATGTATGCATCAATGCATCCACCTGTCCATTCATCCAGTCATCCATTCGTTCATTTCCCAAACACGGTGGTAGGTACTCCAGGCTTACTCTGCGGGATACTCTGTGAGGTACTCTAGGTTGGGCTTGCCAAAGACACGCACCTGGATTTTCTGCGGATGGGCTATGGACGTGGGGCACTCCATTGGTACTCTGAAGGATGTGCTGGGCCTCGAGGGTGGGCACTCTGACACAACTCTGCTGGATTATTGGCGAGGCACTCAGCTTTACTGGAGACTCTGACGTTTCTGCATGCGAGGATCAGCAGATTGCGAGCAGAAGTGTGGCTGCGACTATGCATCCAAGTAGTTCAAGGTTGAACACATAAGTCAACACCTGGTCAACTACAGTACCTATTGGCTAACCGAGTGCATAGGCACGTAGACAAATAAGCACACACAGAAACCCCTATGCATTTCTGAAGCATGTTGGTCACACCCTAATCCATTACCAATCAATCGGTGTGCGTGCTTGTGTGTACATTGTAGAATCATACGTCACACGAACAGCCAACTCAGGTCATCCCAGTACGGATGGCGAATTTCGTACAGGTGGGGCTAGAGAGGGATCAGCTGCGCGCGCGCGCGTCATGCCGACACAATACTAATAATTCTTATAACAATATTGATAATAATAAGAATAATAATGATAATAATAATAATAATGATATGTCACGGCTCATAATGAAATCCTAAACCCTAACTGGGGTTCTCGTGTCAGGCCTGGCACAACCGCTGCTTCACCCCCTTGCATCCCCCCCATCGGCCCGGCCCAATCTATAGAAGTTCTGCCATTTGTGACGTCGAGACGGAGATCTGCAGCCGAGTTGCACGATAGCAGGCGGCATTGAAGGCGGCCTCAGGTGGACCCGTCTGAGGATGAGACTTGGTGCGGGAATCTTCGGTCGGGCCACAGGGTTATCAAGGAAGAGCTGGTGGCCGGCACCCTCGACCATGAGCCTTTTCACAGCACACTGCTCCGACTCACAGAGAGCAGCGCGCGAGTCTCTCTGCCCTCTGCTTGGCCGAGCTGCACTTCTGGTGCAGGGTGCCGAATTCTGGCGAGCTCGCGTGCCAGCTCCACACCTTCGAAGACGCCCAGTGAGGACCTGTGCCTTTAAAGTCGAAACTCGTGCCTGCTCCCGCATCCATCCAATCAGACTCGCCTCAGCCCAAAACCACCGTGTTTTAGCATGCAGCTGCAGGCCGCATGCCATTGCAGCGCGAGTGGCCGTAGAGCAGTGTGACTGGTGGCGCTCGGCTTCCCAACTCCTGCAGCTGCGGTGTTTTGCAGTGCTGAACACGTCTCACAGCAGCGCACAGGGTGCCAACTGTCAAGAGGCAAGTGCTGCGCGTTCAAAAAGCTCGTGTCTGCGCACGAGCGCCAGGTATCTGCCGTGTATCTACATCGGGCATCCATCACTGCTTCTACAAAGAACTCACACATTGTCTTGGGTGAGTCTCATAGATACGCGCGTTCTTACTTGCATTCGCCCGCATGCTGGGCACATAAGTTCGACTGTGATAACCGGATTCATGCTTAACCGGATTCATGCTACTTGACCAAGATCCATTGGACTGCTCGCCCATTAAGTCAGCCTTCCACCGCTGTGCCAGTCGGGGACCGATGGGCTCCTGACGCAGAGAAAGCCCTCCTTCAAGAGACCCCAGCCGTCCACTCTCTGCCGCTGACCCCGTGTACAGTAGACAGACAGACTTAGGGAGAAACAGAAGAAAGTAATGGCGAGACATGCATAAATAGATTCAGACAGTCCCCCCCGGCCTTCGCCCAGGCACCAAAGGACAGCAGTTCACCGAGACAGCGCTCTGACCCAGCGGGGCGAGCTGCCTGGGGTTGCTTAGCTTCTAACCAAAGCTTTCGGACCTAGGACCTATCTTCGAAGCTTCGGGTTTGTTTTTTTACGGCTGCCATGCGCATC